GGATCACTTATATTTAAAAAATGGATAGATACACGTAAAGTGGGTAAATGTGATATTTATTACCAATAAACCCAAACCAATAAAGGTAATATTTATATGAAGAAATTTATATTTACTCCAGAAAGAGTAAATTCATCCGCATTAAAAAATGGCTCAATCGTTATTAATTCATATTCCGCTAAAAATTTGATATCCTCAGCGGTAAAAGCATCCGATATTGTTATTTTATCCATTTATAATAAAGTAAGAAAAGTCGCGTCGCGTACATGAGAATTTTTTATCGTTATCTAAAAGTCCATCAATAACACGTGAATTCGGGGCGATCCGGATGGCGATCCCGTATAAATATAAATAAAAATTATGCAGATTCTTTTTTCTTCTCACCGGTCCTTTTGAATAGGTAAGTTATGTATCTTTGTATAACATGTGTGATAATATCTACGTACTGGTTTTTTAAGAAATTCAGTTTAAGGAAAGAATTTCGAACCTTTTATTAAATAAGATTTCGTATGGATTTATGGATGGGAATTGATTCTCAAAATTTGAGAATCGATCGATTCTCGAAAATTTTTTTTGAGAATTGATTTCCATTCCTATATTAATTAGAATTTAAAGTTTCTATGTTCACTTTTCTCCGTACATCAATCACAATTCTTAACATCAGAAAATTTTTTTAGTATTTATCAATGACATTAATAACAACTGTTACTGGTTTTGCTGCATTTGGTGTCGCCGTTAGAGTTTACGCGTTAGCCCTTGAGAGGAGGCCTGTTTTTGACAGTATGTGCTCAAAATCCATATTCAAATTCATGCCTATGTTACAAGAGATAGAAATCAACTTCCCTAGTAAAGTCCATCTTCAGATATACTTACAATTTTATTAATTTTCTCTATAGACCCAATAACACATGTACTTACGGCATCATTCTTCGGAGGGGTCGGTGCATATATATTTCATGCTGAAGAAAGACAAATGGAATTAATTGAAAAGCGTAAACAATTGTTATTAGCAAATAGAAAGCGTAGACTTGAGTATGATACTGCTAAAGCTGCGAGGTATGAATCTAATTTTTTGTTTCTTATTGTTCTGTCTAATTCTTACTATCAACTATTGTTTTTGAAATTGGTGAGTAGTGCATAATATAAATATTACATAAAATATCAGCGGGAGTAGGGTTGCGACCCATTTTTATTTTTATTTTTTGAATTTATGACATTACAAATAGACTGGGTTTGGGAATCGGGATTTCTACTTTATTTGGGATAACAACAAAGAACCAAATATATGTCCCATTTTTTGATCAATAGTGTCAAATTCAAAAGCAAGTCAAATTTGTTAAATCAATAATATAAATTATTAAAACTTTTTCATTTTCAAATTAGGAAGATTAAGAATCTAAGAGTGATTTAGCTACTAGACAGGATATGTTAAATAAAAGTGATAAAATCAAGTGTTATTATTTTAAAATTTTAAATATAAAAGCAGTCAGTCCAATCGAATCAAAGGTTTAAATTTATCTTATTTCCAATTTCGACTATATTAAAAATTCTTTTTTTTTCAATTAGTATCGCCTTATCAAATATAAGCGACACTCAGGGACCGGAAAATATATTTGGATAACAATAAAAATTTGGATATAATTTGCATATAAATTTTAATTATTTTTCTTTATAAAGCAGATCATATCCTCCAAAATATTATTAATAATATTGAAACCTGCATTTAACTGCGTATGAAGAAATAGGTAATCATTCTATTATACCAGGTGTTTCAAAAATTACTACACACGATCCTATTTTTTTTAAAATAACCTTATACAGTTATATAGTATACAGAGATCACGATCACGATGCAAAATATATTGCATAACGATAAATAATCATCGTGATCTCTGTATATAAGGTCACTTAAAGAACAAGGACATGTATATTGACTTTGAACGCCTGGTATAAAAGTAGAAATTATGAAATTTTTCCATAATGTTGCTAAGGTTACAAAGTTCTAGCCAAAAATTTGGCTATCGTTAGAAAATTTTTTCGGTCCCTGGGCATATCTACCTTATAGCTTATTTTGTTAGATAACGATATCTCTATCGAATGCAGGAATGGAATCGTATGATTTTGATCGACAATATCTACCTTATGCCTTTATATAATTTTTTAAACTTTATAAAAGTATAAGCATGCTTGAACATTCTTGGACTTGGACGTTGAACATACAAAATGTACAACCCTGTCACTACAGTAAATGCAATATCTGGCGCGACAAATAAATGATACTATGTATTCATATGTAATACGTACGTACGTTCTTTTTAATTTTTAAATGCATGTAACAGATACATCTGTAAATTAAGGTGATATTTCATATCCACGTGATATTGACAAATGACGATATAATGTAACCGAAAACCTGTTATTATAATTCAAGATGCTTCCAACACCAAACCTTGATCACATAACCTCGAATGATTATGAGAATGTGTATGAACCAGCAGGTCAGTTATCCAATTGATCGATTCCTTAACTAAGTCAAAATTATCAAGTATTCATATTCACTTATTTGAAAAGAGGACACCTTTTTATTCCTTGATGCTCTTGAGAATGATATTGAATTTATCAAGAATGACGTAAATCCTTGTATCTGCTTAGAAATTGGGTGAGTGTAAATTATTTGGCAGCCATCATTAGTTATAATATCAAAATTATTCCCACTTCCATCGAAAAATAGTTCAGGTACAGGTTGTGTGTCGACGTTCCTTGGTCAATTACTTGGTGATGGAACTGCACGTACGTTTGAATAAACACGTGAATTTGTTTATGAAGAAAATTTTTATAGAAGCTTTCATACTTTATTCCCCAAAAAAAGTTTTATTATGCACAGATATAAATCCTTGCGCTACTGCAATTACCGTTAAAACAGCCATTCGTAATTCGGTATCTTTGGAAAAAATAATTGCTCATATTTTATAATTTATATATATTCTGAACAAATTAAACGCTAATATTAGTTTACGAAAATGAATTAAAGATTCATTTAGATGCCGTAACAACCAACCTCACATCAGGTCTTTTACCGAGACTGTATCATAAAGTTGATATCTTATGTTTTAATCCACCGTACGTTGTCACAACTTCTGAAGAAGTAAATTCAAAAAATGTTATCGAAAGAGCATGGGCTGGAGGAATTGATGGAAGAGAAGTAATTGATCGAATGTTACCATTAGCCAATGTGAGTTTTCCTTGTAGGGGTGGATCAGTCCTGAAAAGATCAAATGAGGATTGGGTCTCACCCCCGGTCTTGAACCAATCCGGACTGGTTTCATGAACAGCTAAAATAACTAAAATTATTGAAAGAGTATATTATATAATCGCATATTTTCAATTACGACTGAAAAACATTACGGCTGTTATCATAACTCTTGAGATAACGGAGAAAATTGCCGATAACCGAATCGATAAGTTTCTGAAG